TAAAAAATCTAAAATTATTTTTTAGATCCATGCTAATGAAGAATGAATGGCCATATAAATGGCACAACTGTAGTTTCTGTTTTCTTTCAAAAGAAGAGAATTTCACTTCCTCTGAGCTAGCCTGTGTGGGATCTAACGTATTTGTATTTAAATTTCTCTATTCAACATAGTAGGAAGCGCCAAGTACATTTTATTTGTTAATTTGCTTTCAATCCTTTAGTAAGAATGAATATATGCTCTACAAAATATTTAGAAGTGAGGGATTACTTCTAAATCAAGAAGACGAATAGAGAATATCCAAAGGTTTATATGAGAATAATGGTCCTTTTACAGGTACACTCATTTACAGTTTTCTTCTCCAATGAAAAGTTATTTCACCAGTTAGACTTGTTTTTAGAGTGATATACACAAGACACAGATGAATTCTTTTCCAAGACTGTTCAGATGTCTTTACATCCAAAAAAAGCCTTTTTCACCAATTTGTGCACTCCATTTAAGGAAAAGAATTTGTATATGCAATGTCAATTTTCACATATTCTTGGCAAACCTAAAAGTTTCTCTTAAAACGATGTCAAAAGCACGAGAGAGACATTCTCTGGCGCTGGTAAAGAGAGACACCCATGTGTGGTAATTATTCACCACTTTCTGCCAAATGTCACCTGAGCTGCCCTCAGCCCTGCAGGTGCTAAACCGAGGGCAGTCATTTAAATCGGTCAGGAGGTAGGACAGAGCCTGACACTGAAGCAAGCAGCAAACTGGGCAGCCAGCTGTGAAATTCACAGAGAAACTTACTGGACACCTGCCACCATGCTTTAAACAGTAACGTTTCAAGAACAGTTCCATGGGGGATGTTGCCGCAGTTAAAACTTCATGTCAACTGGACCTTCCCATGAAAAAATCAGAGATCCTGCCAATCTGATGAGCTTCACTGAAGCCTCAAGGCATTCCAAGTGGAAAGAAACAAACAAACAAACAAAAACTAGAAAAAACTCAAATAAAATAAGCAATGTGTCTCTTCCCCCATCCCTCCCCCCAGATAAGCTAATTGTTCTTTATCTCCAGGGGCAATAAGTGGCAATTAATTGTGCAACTGCACTTTATTAAAAAGATTATATTTCAACTGTGGAATTCTTCAAGGAAAAAACAGAGGTACGGTCAGAATTGCCTATATTGGGGAAGAGAGGGAGAAACAGCATCTAGAAGACTCTAATGACCTTTGATCATGATACTGCAGCCCAGGAGAGATGAACAATTCTGACTGCACTCCGAACTAAAAGAACAAATAGGAGGCTCCAGAATTAAAGTAAACTAAGATAATTTATACATGAGTGCTGGTTATGCAGTATGCCTTCTCTTCCTTAGCTCTGGAGAGCTCACTCAGAACTAGGCTAACCTAGTAGAGTGGTGATACTTAGCCTTCTTAGAAATCTATAGGGTTTGGAAGTAAGAAGAGCTGAGTGTGTTCCTGAATCCACCATTTACTTACTGGTCTCATGCCTTTGGATCAGTCGCACAGACGCCCAAGTTTCCCCTTAGGATGAGCATAATAACATCCCCTGGTTTATATGACGAGCAAATGGCTTAAATGAGACAGTGCATGTAAAATGCTTACTACAGCAACTTTTGTATAGTAAGGGCTCAATAAGTATCAGTATTTATTTTCAATGGTTGATACGCTTGTTAGAGCAGAGTTTTTCACCTGGATAACTGGACCTGACAATTCTTTGTTGTGGGGCTTGTTTGTGCATCACACATTGTGACAACTAAAAATGTCTCCAGACTTTGCCAAACGTCCCTTAGGTGCAAAATCACCCCTGGTTGAGAGCCACTGTTCTGCATCTGAGCGCCGTTATGAGTGATGCTATTCATTACAGTCAAGTAGCTGCTTCACCTTATTTGCTTTGAGAAATTGTTAAATACTGTATTGGACACATTTTGCTAGTTTGTTTTTAAACCTCACATCCCTTCTGATGGTGTCAGTAACCTCTTCCTGCTTTGGGAGAACCACGCCCATTCTATCTGTACCCTGTGTGCTTTCCATAAAGTCCTCAGTGTAGTTCCTGACACATAGTGAATGGAATGGTCAATGTATGGCAAGAATCTATCTCTCTTCTGTTGGCTGACGGTGTGAGAAGACCTCAAAGCTCCTGGAAGCCCCATGTGGAGCAGAGCGAAGCCACCTAGAAGAAACAAGACTATGATATAAAACCTAGGGTCCTCATTTGGACTTTGAATCAACCCAACCCTGAAGCCACCTCTGCTCCCTGGACTTTGGGTTCTGAAGGCCGACAAATTTCTTGTCTGCTTGTGTCAGTTTGTGTTGACACAACTGCCTACTACCTGCCAGGCACTATGCCAGGTGTTTGTATATGTACCTTTATTTAGTCTTCATGGCCATCTTGTGAGAGACATAAATTATACCCATTTTACAGGCGGCCAATGGAAGCTCAGAGAGTTAGGTCATTCACTCAAGGTCCCACAGCCAGTATGTGATTGACTATAATTTCATTTCGTTTCCTCCACCTCCCAGCCCAGCTTATTACGCGTGCCCCATTGTCAATCCTGGTGCGGTGAAATGGGCCATTCAGCAGGAATAACACTTAGCTCCAAGTCTAACAGAGGCTTTGCCTAGACAGAGCAGAACTTTGCCCAAGGTCTTAGGAAGATTCTCTGCATTCTAGAGGGGAAATGTTGTGACGTTTTTGCAGACGCATGCTGGATATGTGAAAACCATCTGCCTAGAGACTTAACTCCTGTTCATCTATCAACGTGAGACAGGGAGAAAATTATCTTAGTTAATATGACACTGCCTTATTTTGAACACATCCAAAAATAGCCAAGGAAAGAATTATCTTCACTAATAAAGTGAGGCAGATGTGAAACCTTCACACTTGGGGGAACATGAATGATCTTATACCCTGAGCATCTTGATGGTAACTATAAAAATTCATCTTTGAGTTTCAGGCAAAATATAAAATAGTATGATTACCTTGCATTTAACACTGTCTGGATCCTGCAAACCCAGTCCTGTTCCAAAAGTTATTATGATAAAACCTCAAAGAGACTATTAAGAGAAGCCCAGCACCTTCTGGGTCATCTATATGCATTGCTGCTTTTACCTAAGACCACCCCAGAAGGAAGTTATTACTTAGATAAACTTACAAGGGAAGTTAAACACTTTGTAAGTGGCCAACAGCTAATAAAGAATAGCGATCAGGACCTAGGGTCTCTCTGACTCCCAAATCAGTGCTCCTTACACTAGGAACCACACTGTTTGGGAAATGAGCGAGGTCCTAAGAATACATTCCCGATACTTGTCCTTCCGATTGTTCGTTCAGTCTCAGGTTTGCACCGGCCCCATAAAGCATGACCACTGAACAAGATGCTGCTCAAAATCAATAAATATTCTAAGTCCCTACCATATCCGAGGCACAACACTGTGTGGTACGGGTTGTAGGCACTACAATCATCTAACCACTGGAGTTCGTGGACAAAATACCCAAAAGTCAGACCATAAAGAGACCAAAGTCATGAACCAAAAAGCTCCTTCATTTCCCGAGTCAGCACTTTACGGCTTTTGGTCAAAGACGAATATTTCTGAACTTCATGTCCCCAATACAGCCTCACTTTTCTTCCACCATTTCTTTCACTCGAGGTCCTTCAATTCCTCCCCACATCCACATCTGCGACCTCTATCCTATTATTTACAAAATATGAACACGATTATACACACACAACACCCACCTAAAAATCTATATGGTTTGCTATCACACTTGGGGGAAATATCAAAGTCTTTAAAATAATCTCTTAGATCCTTAGCAGTTCTACTAAATGTCAATATGAAGAAGTTAAACTTTTGCAAGCTATGAGCAGTATTAAAACCTGGAAGATCGAGAAAATTTTTAAACAGTTTCAAGTAGGGCTTCCCTGGTGGCGCAGTGGTTGGGAGTCCGCCTGCCGATGCAGGGGACACGGGTTCGTGCCCCGGTCTGGGGAGATTCCACATGCCGCGGAGCGGCTGGGCCCGTGAGCCATGGCCGCTGAGCCTGTGCGTCCGGAGCCTGTGCTCCGCAACGGGAGCGGCCACAACAGTGAGAGGCCCACGTACCACAAAAAAAAAAAAAAAAAAAAGTTTCAAATAGTCATGAGATACTACAAAGGTTTACTAATTTTTAGCCTTTGGAAGTGACAATAAAAAGCCATACATACCCATTTCCTATTATTATTTCCTATAAATAGAGTGAATCAAAGAAAAGCTGAAAAATATGAAAGTTGGAATAAATGGTGCCCCAAATGGGCCCCAAACATCTTGACCAACGCAGAATTCTTCTGCACGTCAATATGAAATATGAGGTGTACGGTCAATAGAAAAGCCTATTTTCTATGATGAAATATCTTTCATAACCAGATTTCACCGGTTACAGTTAATACATAAATAATTTCTGAGGGAATTCTCTGGCGGTCCATTGGTTAGGACTCTGCACTTTCACAGCCGAGGGCATGGGTTCGATCCTTGGTCAGGGAACTAAGATCCCACAGGCCACACGGTGTGGCCAGTAATAATAATTATTATTATTTCTGAGACCGAAGCAGGGAAATATACCCACCTTCCCAAACAAATTCTTAATTTTCTATCAAGATTTTCCTATAAGGATAATAAATAAGTAGTTCTGACATAAGAAGGACGCTGCACTAAAGATTAAAGTTTTATTTGCTAACTTGAGAACCTTTGTGTCTCTGGGAGATTCACCAATGCATTTATACCATTTCCATTTCCAGGTACTTAAAATTTAAATAAACCAAAGAAGAGCTGTGTGGAAAAGAAGAATTTAAACACTTTCTAGGATAGTTGTAAGAGCATCAAATTGATCATATTTCTGAAAAGTGAATTTTAAATAATTGGGCTTTGTTTATAATGGAGTGAACAAATGAATGTGAGTGGAGCATTACATGACGTGAACCTGGGGAAAAAAATGTAGAAAAACAGTCATGAAACTCACCTCCCTGCCTCAAAAGTGAACCAAGCAGCATCTCGTCCATACCGCCGCAGGGCGCTTAGCGGCCAAGAGATGAGTTTGACTCTGGGATTCTGGACGTCCCAAAGACAGATGTGCTCATATGTAATCTGCAAGGCACATTCGCCATGTACATCTAAGTTAGGAGATGGCATCAAATACACATTGAATCTCTCTGGGAGAAAAACAAAAGGTTAGTCTAAAATCCCCAGGAATAAAACATCAAAGACATTGTAGGAACAAAGTGGCATTTCAAAGTAATTCAAGCTCTTATTCTAGGTTTTGGTTGAATATTCAGGAAGATAAACCTTTCTCATAAATTAACAGTTCCAGTAAATGATTTTTTTAAATGAAGACCATATTAAATAACATACTAATGATACAGTCTGGTTGTCAACATACATGCAACACTATTTACATGAGCAAAGATATTTTTAGAATTTTAAAATTTGCATAATAAAAATTTGTATGCCAGTAAAAGACTAAAGCAATGAAACCATTAAAAACAATTTTTTTCTTGCCAAGTACATGTTAATTACACCCACACTTTTGTGTTCACAAAAGATGCAGGTGCAAAATAATTGCATGGTTTAATGATACTAAAATTATATTGATCAATTTATAATTTTCATAACTAAAGGAACACAACTCTACCCCAAATTATTTAAATAAACTAATACTAACTAACACTATGCACTTAACTGACCAACAGTTTGGAAAAATTCCAGCGGATCTATTTGAACTAGTTTTAACAAAGAGCTCTCTTTAGCCAAATACCGGAAAGAAATATTCATTTGCTTATTTGGATGACTGTTAACATTTAACCAAGATTACTCTGAATAAACTACTTGGCTTATTATTGCAACTGAATTTTCATCCCCTCAGATACCGTCATGGTATTTTTATTACATTTCTAGAAAATTCATTAATTTAGGAAGCTATAGAGTCAAAATTTTAAGTGAAATATGAACAAAAATATTATTACTACAGCAAACACACTTTTATCTATCCATTGTTATGGTAGATTGCCTACATCTGAGAAAATAGTGTGGCACTAATAATATCACTGGTATTCTAAATTAATTGTTTTATAATAAGGAAGTCATTAGAATTTCCATAGACTTCAGTTTAGTAAATAGTGTCAAGATTGTCTTCATAAACGTATTCAAGCATCTATTCTTCAAGTTTTCTAAGTTACTTCAAACTCCCAGTAACCAAATATTTACTGCTTTCTAATAACTATTATTTTAAAAGTATATTCTAGTGGAGCAAATTTCTCCCTGAAGAGGTCTGAAACAAGTAAGAAAGACTGTCATCATCAAGCAAAAAAGTTAAGAGAGACCATTACCAATTTCTTTGCTTGGAAGTTCTTCCATATAAACTACCTCATCCAAGAAAAACAGCAAAAGTGGTAAGAGTGACTACTTTAGTTACAATTACTTGAAGTCATACAATTAATCTTGTAAAGTGCCTTAAAAGACAGAGCTGAGTTTAATTATAATCCCTAGTAGTTATATACCAGAGGGGTTCTTATCCCTATTTGACAGAAGAGGAAACTGCAGCACAGAAAATTGGTACCAGAAAGGTAACTCCTAGGCACAGGCAATTCTTGAATTCAGTTTGGAGCACTATCTGAATATAGCTTTGTAAATATAAGACATGAAAAATAAGTGCTGATCTGAGCCCTCTAAAAAATAATCAAAACCTGTCATGCTTTCCTCTTTATGTTTGGCTTCATGTGCATTTGTCGGTGAGGCACTATAGGTACCGTGCAGCCCAAGAGCATCCTGAGTTAGTGAACTATGGGGCGAGCAGCTTGGGGCTTGGTTGTATGACCCTGGTAAAGGACTTAATTAAGCTCTCTGCCGCTCAATTTCCCAGTCTGCAAAGAGGCTCCTCTGAATTAGCTAGCACTTCTAAGACTTTGTCAATAACGCTTCCCTGGAGATGGGATTCTGGCAGATACGAGGCTTCCAAGATAGTCGCCGACTGTAAATGTGTCATGAAGACATAGTTCCAACTGGAGAAAGGGCATTTTTTACTAACAACTGGAGTGTGAATCCACGGAAAGGGTCAGTACAATTCCACCTCTGCCGTGTTCGTAGTCGAGCCAGGTGACCCACAGCCTCTTCGGTTGTGATATATCCTCATAGATCAAGTCAATAGGCTAAGAGTAGAACTATGGGATCCCATCTATCCCATCACAAGGCCCAGTTATTTGGAGCCAAAGAAATGATTCCTCGCCTCCAAGCTCATACTGCAAACCAACATTGATTCTGTTGAAGTGTTCATGAATATTTCAGTCATTATTATTTATAATGACGTATTCCCAGGTTGAGTGTTGAGCTTAAAGAGCTGGCTCAATTGTTAGAGCTAAAAAAATATACCACAGATTTAGGTGGGTTTAAACTTGATGAAACATTCATGAAGCCTGGATTCTATTAAAAACACTGGAAAGTGTTCAATAAAAATTTTAAGTGAAAAAAAGCAAGACAAGAACCCATTGCATTGTAAAATCTGTACACTATAAATATAGGCTCAAGAGTATAGTCTGGAATCAAACAGTAGTTATTGGAATTGGAGCAAGACCTTTAGCTCTTTTAAGCTTCAATTTCCTCATCTGTAAAATGGAGAAGTAATAGTACTTATATCATAGGGCTGCCAGGAAAATTAAACGGTCTAATGCATCTTCCGCACAAAACTGACACACACACAGCAGGTTCCCCATAACTTCTATCTGATATTATTAATGTAGATACATTCCCATTATACGCTGAAAACATGTTAAGAAAAGAAACACACTGAAATGTCTGCTCAGGTTTTAGGTGACATAAAAGGTTATTTTTACTTCTTTCTTTATACATTTTTATACCTTCAAAATTTTTACATCATGAAGATGTCTCACGTTTCATTACATGGGGACAAAAACAGTTTTAGAAAAGAGCAAAGGAGAGAATTCTCTTTACATACCACTCTGTTCTCTCTCAACCCCCGTAGCCAGTAAGTCAGGCTCTCCAAGGCTGATGTCATTGATTCGCGTCCCTACACACTCCATCTGGAGAACTTTGCACCATTCATCAGCCTCAAGATCTGCGGAAATGTCCAGAGATAACGTGTATGCCCAGCACCCGCTGAAGAACAAAAAGCCAAAGCCCTCCCTGCCTCCGACAAACCTGATTCACAGGCAAAGGTCTTGGACGTATCATCATTGAAATAAATCACTATGGCATGCTTCTTGGTGCTTTTTGGCAACCGAGCTACGTTCTTCACGTTGTTGAGTTCTGTAACCTGAAAAATGAACGATGGTGAGTATGAGGATGCTCCGGAAAGAATGCTTCCCATCAACACCATCAAACTGAGTGGAGGCACAGAAGGCAGAAGGCGCGTCCCAGGCGAACACAGCCTGACAGAAGAGTGTGTTTTCAAAAGCGATGAATTATTTCAGTGTCATCCTCAGTGCCTAGCAAGGAAGGTTAACAAACTACCTCCCCTTTTTAGATTTTTTTCTTTTGAAGCCTATTAACAGGCACAGGCTCAAAGCTTTGTAGACGTAGACGCTTGTTTTATTTTTTTAGATTTTTATCCGCCCCTGTAAAAGACTCTGCCTTCTCCATTGTCATCATGTTTATCTCCATCAATGTGGACAGACTTTCAAATACCCCGTCTCTTCAGAGTACTCCCAACGCAAGCATCTTAAACACACTGACCCCGAGAAAGAGAAGGCAATGGTGGTCTGGTTCATAACTAGATGATCTCACCCTTTGATAATCAGAGATAGAGTCTTAGGATTCTCAAAGACGCCCCTCTACTCAGGGTTGAAGTCACATATTCCAACACAGAGCTGGTAGGTGAGGTGTTACTCCAGTCTCTCTGACTTACTCCTAGCTTCTCCATGGTTATGGGGCCACTGTCCTAGGGTCTGAAAATACTGCATGGTAATCACCTTCTTCCTAACAGTAGGGGAAAGCTTTCCCCACTAGCCATTCTCCTCACCTCCCTCTCTCCCTCTAACTCTTTTATGAACCGTTTCCCTCCCACAAGGGGTATTGGCTCATTGTGTTTCCAAAATGCCATCTCTCATTCAGTTACATTCAGATCCCCTGCTGCACTCCAGGGCTGTGATCCTTGAGTCCTGCAGGAGAGAAGGTTTAGGTGGCTTGGGGCAGAGTATTTACAAGATAAATAACCCTCTCACACTAATTTAGTCTATCTCTTCTGTGTTATACAAAAGAATGTGTCTCCCATCAGTCTTTGCCATCAGTAATGTCATGCCATATCTCCCATCTATTACTCTAAATTCAATAAATGCTTGGCTCAGGAAGTAGGTGAGGAGAGAAGCAAATACTCTCCATGCACATCCTAACCTGATGATTTCACTTCCCTGCCTCTTAACCTCCACCCGCTCTCTTTATAGGATAATGCAAATTTCGTAGCATGAAATATCACAACAGTTGCTATGGACCAAATGTTTGTGGCCCTCCCAAATTCATATGTTGAAAGCCTACCTCTAAGGGGATGGTATTAAGAGGTGGAGCCTTTGGGGTGATTAGGTCACGAGGGTGGAGCCCTTGTGAATGGGATTAGTACCCTTAGAAAAGAGGCCCCAGAGAGCTCCCTTGTCCCTTCTGCCATGTGAGGACACAGCAAGAAGTCACCTTCTAGAAACCAGAAAGTGAGTTCTCACCAGACACTGCATCTCCCTGTGACTTGACCTTGGACTTCCCAGCCTCCAGAACTGTGAGAAATACATGTCTGTTGTTTATCAGCTACCCAATTTATAGTATTTTTGTTTTAGTAACCCAAACAGATAACACTGTTTCCCAAAAGCTGCAAACTCTTTAGTGGCTAAACACTACCTATCTCATTCCCCAACTGCACCGAGTCTCTCAGCATTTACCAGATGCAACTGTTTATTTTTTGCTTATTTCTGTGCTAATACCACAATATAAGCCACTATCATCTTGCCATAACTGCTTACTGGTCTCTCCACTTCTATCCTAACCCCATTCATTGACTGTAAACACAGCATCCAGATGATCTTTTCTTTTTTCTTTTTTTTTTTTAATGTTTTCTTTTGAAAACCCTAGTCAGCTTTGGGAAGGAAGTAGCTTTGGCGGAAGCAAAGATATTTTGGTGAAAAAGGAAAAAGGAGCCTTAACATGAACAGAGGCGCTTGGAAAAGTGAGGGTTAGGGGGCACAGATGAGTTTTTTAAAATGCAGTTCTGACTCCAGCGTTTCTAGGCATAAAACAGAACATTTCAATGACTTCCCTTTTGCACTTGCAACAAAAGCCCAAATCCTTAGAATGATTATGAAAGCCCCCTGCGGTCCTCCTTATAGCTCTCACCAGGCTCCTCTCTGACACCTTCCCGAGCATCCTATGTCCCAGCCACACTGGCCTTTATTCAGTTCCCAGGAGGCACCATGATTCTCCCGGCACAGAGCCTTCCCCATGGTCTCCTTACTTCACTCCCACTGGCCCTGCTGGTCTTAGTTTAAATCTCATTTACCTGCAGAGCCCCACTGGACAACCCCCCAGCCCCCATCAAATCAACGTCTCAAGGCTCTACCATCCAATGACATCTTTGCCCTCACAGACCTTGGATGGCTACACGGGTTATGGTTTAGTGCCTGTCTTAGAATAAAAGTTCCATAGGGCAGAAACGGTATATTTTTTGCTCACCACTTTGCCCCCTGAATCTAACCCAGAGCCTGTCACACAGTGAGAATTCAATGAATGTAGGTGGACTTGAACAAAAGACCAAACTCACCCACAAATTCACGTGTATGATGCTTCTCCAGGGTGCATGCCTCTCTCTCCTGTCTCTTTTCTCCAGGGAAATTTCACTTTTCCTTCAAGGTTCACTTCCTCTGGGAAAGTTGCCCTGACCTCAGTGTGAATTCATTGTTCCCTCTCTTCTGTTCCCATGTCTGCTGCATGAAGCTGTATTCTATTATCTGTTGTTGTAACTAATCCATTTAGCTCTCCAGCTCCCAGCTAGACATGAGTCGCCTATCAGTGACTTACTGATGAGCTGAATCAATGAAAAACAATCATTTGAGAGTCAACATTTTTTGAGCCTACACCCTACATTTATACACACTCTGCTTCATATTTTTATATAGAACATCTTATTTGATCTTCATAAAAATCCTATGACTGATATTATTATCAGTATTTTCCAGATGAAGAAACTGGGGATGAGAAAGGTTAAACTCATCTGCCCAAGTCCACAGCTAAAAGATGGCACAAACGAGTTACGAATGAGGCAAACTGACCCCAAAGCTTCCGCTCTTCACCGTCCAAAACACTAATAATGACTAACCCTGCAAAAGTTCAGCAGAGAGAATCTTTAACTCCGAAAGTCATCTCCTATCGGAGGATCTCTTTCTTTTCATGGGGGTAGGTTTTATTCTAACCCTCTACTGAGATATTATATAAGATTAGTCCACCCTAGCCTCAAACTCAGCAATGACCTTGAAATATGTCATTTCATTAAACATCCACCAAGGGCAAAGAGGAAGGAATAAGTCACCTGAAAGGGTCAGGAAGTGCAGGGAGAGCTGCATGAGTCCAAACACAATCATCCATTTTGGAAACTGGTTTAGATAATAAGAAACCCCACACCCGTCTCAGGGTGAACGTTTAAGGAGCAAAGGAGCGGGTAGGGTTATGTTTTATGTGTGGAAGGACCATCAGGTTCTGAAGCAACAGTTTCTGTCCCCACCTCAGAACTACATCTCAGTGAGCACGTGTACACACACACACACACAAACGTATGCTCGCGTGCACACCTTACTTCCAAAAGAATTGCAATCTGCTTGAATTCATAATAGAATCTTCCTCAAAACACATACTACAGTGACAATTATGAGAATTAACATTTTCAGACATATTTATAAGTCACACAAAAACTTCTATGAGACATTTATTTCCACCATCACTTCATTTTGTAAATGAGAAAAACGAGGCAGGACGTATTTTTTTTAATATTCCTTTCCCAAAGAAATAATTGGCCCCTAAATAATTACTTTTGAAGTAAAGAGAGATTCTGATAAGGTCTCAGATTATCACTTAATATGAGCAGTATCTTAAACGGGGGCGACAACAGTGTAACTGACCATCAAAAATGACTCTATGGGATCCTCAGCCCTGTCTCAAAGAGGATGAGCTTTCGGGACCACTCGCGTGTAATGACTTCAGTTCAACTTCAGTATGCATTTATTGTCTTTTCCTTATGCCTCAGATCACCCAGAGGTTCTTTCTTGCCAAGTTCAAAACTTTTAAGGAAAACGCCCTCCTGGGTTTTATAGATTACATTTACAGTTTTCTAGATTTTATTTTTCTTCCACAGTGCAGGAGAACGGACACACCCTAAACTTTACATGAATTATGCTCTTTGTGTAGAGATTAACAGATAAAATGTAAAAATTTCTTCAAGGTGTAACAGCATCAAGGAGGGAACCACTTAAGCACGATTGCAGGAGAACAACATTCCCTCTTCAAGAATCTTCCTTGCATCCATTCGTTCATCAAAATGTTTAATTCATTGTTTATTTACTATTCATTAACTCATTCATTCATTTATTTATTTGTCAAATTTACTCTGTGTCAAGTACTGTTCTATTCACTAGGGATAAGATACGGAAGCTTTGTGCGTTGTTAGTGGTAATGCAAAATGATGCGGCTGCTATGGAAAACAGTATGGAGGCTCCTCAAAAAATTAAAAACAAAACTACCGTGCGGTCCAGCAATCCCACTTTGGGGTATATACTCAAAGGAAATTCAAAGGACCTCAAAGGGATATTTACACTCCTGTGTTTACTGAAGTATTATCTACAATAGCCAAGATATGGAAACAACCTAAATGTCCACTGATAGATGAATAAAGAAAATGTGGTATATACCTAGAACGGGATATTATTCAGCCTTAATAATTTTTCTTTCCCTTGTACTTCTTTTCAACTGTTAATTCCTGTTCATGGCAAACAATACCCGTTTCTATTGATGGTAGTAAGAAAATGTTCTTTTACAGTGAATTTATTTAAACAAGTGATATGATTTCAAGCAAAAAATTAAGTAAATAAGAGTAGAGGTGATACTGTGACCACAAACAGTTACGAATAAATGACAGATGACTAAAAATTAGGAAAAACACCATCAATCTACTACTCCTAATCTAATACTACTATTATGAAACTGATTTTCATTTCATTTTCTACTGAGTCAACAGTCCAGGTGACAACCAACTGACCTAAAGGTCATAGAGTCACCCAGAACAATTCT